AAGTCCCAATCAATTTGCTATTTTGCCATTATCACCACCCCCCAAAAAAAAAGAATTTTCCCCCTTACACATGTTCTTCAAATTGCCCTATGAGATTTTTCTCCCCTTTCAAATCTTTGCTCCTCGTTTAAACATTATTTAGCATAAAAACATATTCAGGATGGTGACCCACTGTAACTTTCTGCCAGCATCTACCAAAGGTAACTCCACAGCCCATTCTCTCATAAGACTTAAAAATAAACTAAGACAGCAAGTGCTGTTTCCAAAGCCAAGTTCCTTCCAAAGCTAAGAGCAATCGAAAGCAGGGCTCCCTTCCCCTTGTTCCAAATGAAAGAGCAAATGCCTTCTGTTGGTGATTTTGTTCGTAATTTCTGATCCTGACATCTCTGGGACTTGATGTTTTGTTAAAGCCTTTCCAAATCTGGTTGTGATTATGTAAGAAAAATGTGTGGCAGTAGGCAGGGGTGTCCCAGTTCACACGGAGATACCAAATTGATCTACTTTAATCTAGGAGATGGTATAAAACTCAGACAGTGAATGAGGGTAACAAGAATTACTACACCTTCATCTGGACTTCCATCCTCAATAAATCTGAAGTCACAAAGTGATCCTTAGAGTGTTTCACATAGCCAAGAGTTTGTTTGCCTGCTTATTCTTAAATGCTATAGTTTCAGCACGTAACATTCAGCAATTTCATATAAACCCAAAATTCTAATTTCTCTTGGGAAAAGAAGAGATCTGGCAATATTTTGTTACTGTCCCTCACGAGTACTTGTAGAGTGGAAACTTGTAATACCTTTGGTCCAGCGTCTGAACCTTCTCTTATTTGGGGATGGCACAGGTCACAAGTTGCAGTGGAAGGCTGAGGTCATCTCTCTGACTTAGTTACTTTTCTCATTGCTGAAACACAGTCTCAACAACCAAGGTTAAGAGATGAACAGTTTATTTTGGCTCACTGAAACCTTTGTAGAGGTTTCTGCCCATAGTGAGCTGGCTCCAATGCAGAGCAGCATGGTAGTGGGGCATCACGGAGGAAAACAGTTCATAGAAAAGCAGGGTAAGGCAAAAGGCAGCAAGCAGCAAGCAACAAACAGCAGCAGCAGCAGCAGCAGCAGCAGCAGCAGCAGCAGCAGCAGCAGCAGCAGCAGCAGCAGCAGCAGCAGCAGTCTGCATTCTCTTCATCTCTTCCATTCAGTATACTCACACGTGGGGTGAGACTCTTTTAATCCCAGCATCATGCCCTTAATACTAACAGACCACCTTAATCCCACCGTGACAGACCCTAAATTCAGCCACCTCCAAAAAGCCCCACCTGTGACTGCAAGAGGCCTTGTAGGGAGATCCAGATGCAAACCACATTTGAGTTATACATAGTTGACCCCAAAGGTTGATTACAGAACTCCTGGAGATATCAATATCTGAAGATGCATGTCCTTTATATAACAGGGAATAGTAGTTGCAGAAAACTTACACACACACACACACACACACACACACACACACACACACACACCTCTTAAAGGGTCCGCAGTGTGCCAAGCCCTCTGAGGACCAAGCTGCCACCAAGGAACCTTGGAGTTCACACTCTAATGGTCTCTAAACCATAGCATCATCAAAGGAAAATCACTTGGAACTGACCTGTCTTGCTGGGGATATAGTTCAATGGCAGAGCAGGAGGAGGAGGGAGAGGAATGGTAAGAGGAGGAAGAGGAGGAGGAGGGAGAGGAAGAGGGAGAGGAGGAAGAGGAAGAGGAGGAGGAGGAAGAGGAGGAAGAGGAAGAGGAGGAAGAGG